GTGTTAGCAACACTCCCGTGAGCTCACCTATTAGCTCGGTGAATCTAAAGAATCGAGGTTACTAGAATAGGTAAGAAAAAATAATATTTCAAATTTCACTATTTTTAATTCAAATTTATTAAAATTTATTTTCTATTTTTAAGTTGGATTTTCTATAAAAGCGTATTTTGTTAGTTTTTTAAACTATTATTTATTTTTCATTTTTTTGTTGAATTTCAATTTTTTCAATTCTTTTTTTTCAATTTTTTTTTTAATATTGAATTGTCATCGGTCCCTAATAATTATACCAAATTTCGAGTTATTCCGACGTTTTGAAGGGGGTCAAAGTCATGTTCAAAGATTCCTAAAACACATGCATCAAAGTTTTGATCCTTGTTAACTGAGTTACCTTTGAAACTCACCGGGGAATCTCAGGCTGGATAGCATTCGGGTGGGACAGCCACGTGTTCACCTGAATTGAATCTTCAAACGTTCACTTTAGATATATCTTAAGCGATATCCACGGCTAATGTCTATGGACTCCTGTGACTAGCCAATAGGACGGTTTCGATCTTACCTATATCCTCGGCCACAGTCAGTTGATAAATCGCAATAGAAATATTTGTCCGTCCACCCTTACGCTCTAAGATTAAGGAAATCTGCGGCTCGAGCCCTTCGTGGGAGATCATCAATCAGAGCGGTCCGTGATTTATCGGCACAGATTATTGGCGCTGAAGGGAGACCGGGGAAGGGTCAGAAAACGTTGCTTTTCAATTCGACTACGGATAATCCTTGGAAAATCTATTTGGCAAGATCAGAAGGCGACCTTAAAATTTGGTGTTGTAGATAAATAAATGAGCTTGAGGTATGAAGTACGAGTGTATGGTAATTCATTGAAACTTCTGTTCAGAGCGGATGCTTTGGAGTCGTTTTCGGTAGAATATTTTCGATATTTTATTTTTTTCCTCCTACCTAACTAGGTCATTACCAGTAGTCTCGAGGAGCTGCTATGATTTCGGTGGTTGTGCAGGCGAGATCACGGGATTCATCCAGAGAGAGTTTGCTAACGCCAACAATTTTAGTTCTAAATTATGATACGGATTCATTTTAAAAATTAAAATAAAAACATGCTTTATTTGGAAGTCAATCTAAAATATATTTTTTAATCTTGAGAAAGGCTCATCAAGGTCCGGAACAAGGAATAATGTAAGAAAATTATTGTATCGTCATCGATTACTGCAAATTTTCAAGTTGATTGGACGCGTTGATGTTTGTAAGAATTACATTAAATAGCTTCCTTAGAAATGGCGACAGATCTCTGCAACAGCATGCGATCGTAGAATGCCCCTTAAGCTCAAGGGAAACATTTACAAAACGATCATTAGACCTGTCGTGCTGTATGGATCTGAATATTGGGCGACGAAAATAGAGCATGAAAGAGGAGTGCACGCGGCAGACATGCGAATGTTGAGATGTATGTGTGGAGTGACAAGAATGGATAAGATAAAAGATGAGTATATCAGAGGAAGTGTGAAAGTAGCCCCGGTAGTTGACAAATTAAAGAGCGGACGGTTAGCGTGGTATGGACATGTGATGCGTAGAGAGAAGATGCATATGATTAGGAGATGTATGGAAATGGTAGTGCAAGGTAGAGGGGGAAGAGGTCGACCGAAGAAGACATGGATGGAGTGTGTGAATGACGATATGACAGAGAGAGGAGTGAGTGTTGAGTTGACTGGCTGATAGAAGAGAATAGAATATAAAAATTCGCTGTGCCAACCCTACCTAGTGGGATAAGGTGGAAACAAAGAAGAACAGAACTTCCTTACACATCTGGCTCTGTCCAGTTGCTAGTGCTATAGACAAAAGTTTCGGTTTTAGTGCATGCGAGATAGCCTACGAGATGTTTCATTGGGAAGGATTTGTTTTATAACTAACTAGCGACTCGCCCTCTTTTTGCTACGGGAACTATAATTTATTAATGATCTTATTGATTATTCTTTTATACAAATCTGGTCCTGACATTAACAAACACAATAACAAACGAACGTAACAAACAAAAAATGTAATCTTTTTTTCTTTTATATTAACAGTTCACTATTTTAGGGATAATGGATTACAAATAAAAGATAGATATATATTGTCACGGGCTTTTTGTAGGACAATTTGTAACTCCAACGGTTTTTCAGGCCTCAAAAAATAACTCGCATATAGTAATTTTTTTCCTTCTTACTTGACAATAATAATTATCGTTATATTTTGGGTAATTCACACTATATTTTTTATGAATTGTGTGTGTGTTAACCCATGTGTTATTTTGATGTGTAAGTTTAGTGTCACACTTATTTATCTGGTATCCACAGCCTAATAAATTAGTTTCAAGCTCTTTAGCTCGATGAAAAATGACTTCCATAAAAAACTTAACCCTTTCAACCCTTTACAACTCTTTTTCGCATTAAAAAGTAGCCTACGTCCTCTCTCAGGCTTTAGACTGTCTGTGTACCAAATGTCATTCAAATCGGTTGAGTAGTTTTGGCGTGAAAGCGCGACAAACAGACAGAATTACTTTCGCATTTATAATATTAAGTATGGATCTCGGCGAAACCAGTCAAGCTTAGAACGAAAATATTCCCAAAAATGTTATGATAATTTCCAAATGCTATTTTCATTGTAAAATGAAGCGCCACGCTAACAAAGTGCTAAAACATTCGGCAACATCGCGTCTGTCCGCGAATTACTGAGAAGCCGAGAACGAAAGCGATCATTGCGTTTGTACCTAACATATTCACGAGTGCTCGCCAGGGGTCACGCACACTAACGCAATCAGAGTACAATGTGACAACGAAGTCTCATCCGTTACTACAACGGTTGTACCATCATATAGACCAGGGGTTCCCAAACTTATTTTGTCTACTGCCCACTTTGAGAATAAATTATTTTTTAACGCCTCCCTCTTTTTAACCAAATTAAAAACCACAATAGCGGGAGCTCAGTCGATGTCTAAGAGTCCTCCTAGATGAAATTACATCTCGCCTCCCAAGCCTCTACACAACGCCCCCATTATTATTTTTTGGGTCTCTTACCGCCCCCCTTTAGGCCTTTAACGCCCACAAGGTGGCGTTATCGCCCACTTTGGGAAAGGCTGATATAGACCAAAATTCAAGATTACTTCGTAGCAGAAATAGGCAGCATAGTGGTACATTCCTGAACGGGTTAACAATACGCCCTACAACTGACGAATGACAGAGACTGGTGGAGTTTACCTAGGCGGCACTGAAAATTTCGGAAATTAACGAAGTGACACAACATTACTATTTAAAAATGTATTTATTGCTTTTCGAAGTATTCTCCGCGAAATTTGACACATTTTTCCATACGATAGAACCAATCATTGAAGCAACCATTCCATTCGGAAGTTGGGGTCTCCAAAATGGCCGTTTTGTAGGCGTCCACAGCTTCTTCAGGGGATGAAAATCTCTGTCCACGCAATTTATTCTTTATTTTAGGGAAAGTATAGAAATCATTAGGGCTTAGGTCGGGGCTGTACGGCGGATGGTCTAATAATTCTATGTTTTCTTGCTCTAAAAACTCTTTTGGTCTGTGCGCGGTGTGAGAACTCGCATTGTCGTGATGGAGGATGATGCGGCGGTTGCAGTTCTCTTTACGGAGTTCAGAAACGACCTGTGGCAAACAAATGCTAGCATAACATTCTGCATTAACCGTTCTTTGTCCCTCAAGTGGAATAGTCGTAACATGGCCGGTTTTGGAGACAAACGTGGCCACCATTTTTTTGGCAACACTCCGTGAACGAACAATTTTTATTGGCTTTAACTCATTTTCGAACACCCAAACTCGTGACTGGTTTTTTGTTTCGGGTTCGTACGCGTATATCCAGGATTCGTCACCTGATACAATGTTGTATACAGCATTTGAGGATCCTGCGTGGAATCTTTCGAGAGTTCTGACGCACTAAGTAACGAGAGCTGCTTTTTGCTCTTCACAGAGCGAATGCGGTATCCATCGGGAAAACAACTTTTTTACACCTAATTGTTCATGCAAGATTATTTGTATTTGACTCATGCCAATGTCTAAAGTTGCCTGAATTTCGCGGTATGTCACATGTCGATCTTCCTCAATCAGCTTACGCACAGCATCAACGTTTTCTTGGGTGACTGCAGTTTTGGACGACCTTGACGGGGATCATCACTGAGCTTGACACGTCCACGTTGAAACTCAGCAAACCAGCGATAAATTGTGGTTTTGGATGGGGCTTCATCACCAAATGCAGAAATCATCCGGTCAACGCACTGTTTTTGTGTTAAACCACTTCGAAAGTCATAATAAATCATCGCTCTTGAATTTTCTCGAGTCAATTCCATTTTCTCAACGACTAAAAAAGTTTGACAAAATCTCGTGACAAGACCGAGAATCTTTTTTTAAATAAATAAATGGTATTCGATTTTTAAAACCAAGGAGTTTTCAATTAAAAAGATTGTAATATGAGAGGAACAGTGGAAATATTCCATTCCCGATACTTTTAGTGCAGCCCTCGTATGATCAGCTGTCGCGACTGGCTCGTGTTGAGTGACCATTGTCCACTCTTGGTCGTCGACTATCGCCTCGACGACCCGTCGGTCGGGCGTCCTCGGGGTGGCGCCGCGTGTCTGGTTATCGTGTTGACCGCGGGAACCCCCCTACTCTGACCGGGTTTTGACCCCGGACGGAGTTCGGACGTCGGGTGTAAGATTGCAGGGGAGTCGTTTAGTGGGTGGACCCTAAAATTCCTTGGGCCCGCGGTCTGCTCCCAACACCTTGCAGATCGTTGAGTCCCTCATACCCCGCGCGCCCCCTAGGCGTGGGGACCTGGAAGGAGGTTTGGCCCCCGGCCCGAAAAAAAAAACCATTGTCCACTCAGTTTGGCCATCAATAAAAACAGCTTGACTTTATGCATATTTTTTTCCACACCGCATCAGTGGGTCACGTTCGCTGCAGTGTCGTTTATAACATCTCTTACCTTTCAGGTCTGGTTCCAGAACAGACGGGCGAAGTGGAAAAAGCGCAAGAAGAGCACCAATGTGTTTAGATCTCCAGGAGCGTTGCTTCCCTCACACGGCTTACCACCGTTCGGGGCTGGGGACGTCTGTGGACCTGGTGTCTTTGCAGACAGGCCTTGGTCGATGCCCGCTGGTGAGTTAGTGAAAACTCTACGTCTTGAAGATCATATCATCTTTCACCAGAGTGAGTTTGATCCCATTGGGTTTTCGGCATATCTTCTCCCAGGTCTTCCCAATCAATATATAAGTCTGCGAGTGCCATTAAGCAAAATGAATTACCTTTAACGAAAACTATTACTGGTGGTAGGACCTCTTGTGAGTCCGTGCGGATAGGTACCACCACCCTGCCTAATTATGCCGTGAAGCAGTAATGCGTTTCGGTTTGAAGGTGGGACAGCCGTTGTAACTATACTTGAGACCTTAGAACTTATATCTCGAGGTGGGTGGCGCATTTACATTGTAGATGTCTATGGGCTCCAGTAACCACTGAACACCAGGTGGGCTGTGAGCTCGTCCACCTATCTAAGCAATAAATAAAAAAAGCCCCACTATTTTTATTTTCCGTCTCTTCCAGGTCTTGGGCAACTCTCGCAGTCGGGAGTGTCGATGGGAGGTTTCGGTGCGGGCACCCTGCCGCAGCTCGCCGCGGACCTGAACCCCTCGCTCCCGATCAGCTCAGTGGCGTCGGGACAACCTTACCAGGGACACTATCCGCTGAACTCTTTAGGTAAAGGTCTTCTACAACCAGGATCTAGCAGTAGATACTTTTTTTTCTTTAACTGCCTTTAATATTAGCTTCTGCTGCCTTCACATAAGGTTTAAGTTTTTGTGTAGATTAGCAGATCCCTTAAGCACCTTTTTTCACAGCACACTGACTAATTGATGAACTAATGAGTGATCGGTAAGCAGTTCTGTAGTACTTGCCTACTCCACGATCTATCATGGAACTGCTTTGTTTGCTGACGTCATAGCCCCTTATATCAGCTTGTCGAAATGTTGTGACATCATAAAATTTACGCGTCATCGATGTGGAAAATAGACATAACAACCCACAAAGTCAAGGGTGATCACAACCTTTTGGACCCACAATGCGAACGCGGGCAGAGATTGGAAGCTTGCAATCAGTGGTGATTTTACACTAGGGGCAGTCGGGGCTGGTGCCCAGGGCGGCAAAATTTTGAAAGTGTTTTTTGTTTTTCTTATCAAATTGGTCTATGTAATTAATTAATTCTATAAATAAGAATTTTCTGTTTAATTGATCAATTCATCCATTTTTTTGCGAATTATAGTTTTGGCACTTTTGGTAATTTTATATTAATAATCAAAATGATTTTTAATCAATTTATTTCTTTGGAGATTTAAAATTTTTGGGGCGGATTTTTTTCCGGTGCCCAGGAGCGGCATTTTGTTTAAATCCGGCCCCGGTTGCAATGCTACAAGTTAAACTGTACTATCGCATCACACTGATTGGGCTCAATATTCTTAACGCTCAAAACACCAATATGGAACACAAATGCAAGTTTTCCTTCTAAAATGAAAGTTCCCTTCTAGGAGACACGATGATGTCCTACTGTAACAACATAGCGAGCGGACAACAGGCCTTGGAGGGCTCCCCCACCCCCCCGCACATGGGACACTGCGCCAACAACAACGCGTCGCCTGACGCTTCAGGTAAACTTGCCAGGCTCAAGTCAATACGCAATTTTTTACCGGTGGTAGGACCTCTTGTGAGTCCGCACGGGTAGGTACCACCACTCTGCCTATTTCTGCCGTGAAACAGTAATGCGTTTCGATTTGAAGGGTGTGGCAGCCGTTGTAACTATACTGAGACCTTAGAACTTATATCTCAAGGTGGCGGCATTTACGTTAGATGTCTATGGGTAATCAGCTCTAAGGAATTGTTCGAGATGATACCGGCATCTCGTTTTTACCATCGCACCGCCCGCCACTGGAGTAGAGTTCATCCATACTACCTGGAGCCACTGCGGTCATCCACAGTGCGCTTCCAGAGGTCTTTTATGCCACGTACCATCAGGCTCCCCTCCGCGGTGTTTCCCGAGCGCTATGACATGTCCTTCTTCAAACGAGGCTTGTGGAGAGTATTAAGCAGTAGGCAGCGGCTTGGCTCTGCCCCTGGCATTGTTGAAGTCCATGGGCGACGGTAACCCATCAGGTGGGCCGTATGCTCGTCTGCCTACAAGGGCAATAAAAAAATAAAAAATAAAATTTGGGCTGTGAGCTCGTCCACCCATCTAAGCAAAAGAATCCCTCAATCTAGTGTAGTGGTTGTGTGTGCAGAGCTGCGCGGGGTGGGGGGCGGGGGCGCGGGGGGCGGCGGGGAGTGCGAGGCGGAGGCGTGGCGCGGACACAGCATCGCCGCGCTGCGCCGCCGCGCCTCCTCGCTCTCGCACATCCCGCCCTACCTCCAGCTCAACTACGACGCGCACAGCCCGGTCTACTGAGGGCCGCCCGCAGGTCCCTGCTGCTCCCAGCGACACCAAGTCGTCCTACGATGATCGACTCCAACAGCTCAGACGTCGATACCAGGCACTACAAGAATCACTTTTTTGAACTAGTAAAATCAATGAAGTTTGTTGACACTAAACAGTATCTATTAGTAACAGTATCTAGTAATATTAAGGCCTGTTCACTTTTTTTTCCTACTTAAGCGGAGCGCCTTGTGAGTGTATTTCAGCGTAACCTTAACTAGTAGGTGAGTTCACGGGGCTCAAACCTGAGTGATGCTAACACGAACCCTAGCAAGAGCCGTGCTTCGCAAAATCTACCACCGGATCGGAAACGCGACCCACTGAGAAGATCCGGCGAGAAACTCAGTGGGCTGTGTCTGAGGACCTGTTCAAATAAACTAAGTCCTGGTTGAGCGAGTCAATCCCGGCGCGATGCGTTCTCCTGAACAAATTGCAGATTATCAAATAATTTAACTGCGAGACGCATAGCTTATTTCTCTGGTATATTTTCAACTATACTAAGTATTTTTTTAGGATTTTCACGGATAATTGAAGTCATTACTAACAATAATGGTCTCAATGGTCCTATGGTCTATATCCATCCTTATCATGTACCTATGACATCGCCCTTACCACAGCAACCGGTTGTACCTACTTCATAGACTTTCATTTAGTTTGTACGTGCCAAAGCTGAATTAGGTACTCGATCAGATTTTGACCCCGTATCATAAACGAACTAAATGTAAGGAGAGGCCTGGGGAAATTGGATTTTAAAAATAGCCTCAATTTACTGTAATAAGAAAATAGTTAATTATTGCGTGCTTATATCATACCTGGTAAGAGATCTCGTGGACGAGTCCCCATGCGTTGGACTGGTCAGGTGAAAGACCTTACTGAAACCGCACTTAACAAGTGTGCGCGCGGGGCCTCGGTTCGCAAACTGTGGAAAACATCTGTCACGGCTTTAATAAGCAAGAATTTCACATCCACGACTGCTCTGCCAAGAGCAACCGATTATGATCATGATGATATCATACCTATCCACTGAGGTCTCTCCTGGCTGGGTGCTTTGGCTGTCTAAGATACTCGGAAGTGGATTTTTGGCTCTTGGTTTACGGTAAAAATGAAATATGTATACAGTGAAACAGAACTACTTAAATATGTACTGTGCTAATGTAGTCCTTTATATAATATCTTAAAATTCCAAGTCCTTCGTAATGGTCGCGGCGGCAGCTCCCTTCATTGTTCTCTATAAAAATATGTTGCAACATTATTCATTTGACAACAGTTTGAACAAGCAGACACATGCATACTCGTATATATTGTGCCACTTAAGTACTTTATTTCAATTATGAAAAAGTATTTATCATACTTTACGATCAGGACTGATAGAGCTGCTACAAAAAAAACAGATTACCTCTTAAATTAATTAAAATTCCGGGTAATCTGTGAAGTATTAAAAACTTCAGAGGTGTCAAGGGACACCCGGATGGAACGAAGTTCCTTTCGATTAATTAGTGAAGGAATTGTAAATTTTTTTTTAAGTTATAATAATAAATTACGGCATTATGAAGAAAAAAAAGAAGAAAAAAACAATACTATGAACTAAATTACTATTGTTGAAACGCTATCTCGAAAAACTGTACTCATTACGCGGACCAATCGGATACGAGCAATGTCACGCGATAAGCGCCTACACGTTAATTGGTCAGAATGACGGATCTAAAAAGTGTCGTGACAACTTTTCGTAAGAATTTTTTCCGTCTAGCCCCCTTTCAAAACGCGCGATAAGGAACTTCGTTTCAAAAATATTACGTTTCTTCATTTTTGAAATAATCAGAGTTAAAAATTAATTTAAAGCCAAATATTGCGTTCACTCCAGCTATGCAAAATTCATATCTACATACGACGTACCTAGTATTACTTGATATTTACCTAATACGTTAAGTGATATTAGTAAAACTGATCTTATCTTAATCTTCTATTACTTAAACTCATATTTCGTACTCCAATGAATCCTGTCGCCATTTTGTTGTGCTAGTCACGAAGTAGGGTGACAATGTCGTAACCAATAAATTATAGGATATGAAAATCGTGAGCTGTATTCCACAATGTATACGCGTTGGTACAATAATTAACACTTAACATTAACCTAAATTTAAATTAATTAAAGTATTACTTAGTAATTAAGGTAATTTTTATGCGTGTATTTTGCCTGTGTATATATCTTAATTGATCATAAATATACATAATATTAGAGAATTCAATAAAGTATGGTANAATAAATTATAGGATATGAAAATCGTGAGCTGTATTCCACAATGTATACGCGTTGGTACAATAATTAACACTTAACATTAACCTAAATTTAAATTAATTAAAGTATTACTTAGTAATTAAGGTAATTTTTATGCGTGTATTTTGCCTGTGTATATATCTTAATTGATCATAAATATACATAATATTAGAGAATTCAATAAAGTATGGTAACAGTGTAAGTTTAAGTTTTGTTTTGTTGTTATTTTGTGTGTCACAAAGTGTCGTTATTTCTATTTTAATTGTATTTATTTTTATTAAAGCAATATTAATCTTCAAATATACCATAGCTGTATAATAAGATACTTTTTTTTGTAAAAATTGACGAGCATGCATTTATAAATCATTAAGATTGTTATAGCCAAAGTAGTGGTGTGAAATAAACGCATTGCAGACTCAAATAAGTAGGTACCTACTTACTTATGTTAGTTGAACTGAATTATTAAAATGAATGAATCTTGCATTCCTCTTCAGATAATGCAGGTTCATCGATTGAAGCGTGTTGGTTTCAAGTAAAATACACCGAGAACTTTTAATATGTAATTGAATTATTTATGTATGATTTTTCTTAACGTTAAAAAGGTCCATTTGGCGCCTTTTATTTCATTATTTTGTACGTTCCCCTTGCGAACACTACGCAGCCGCCATCTTCTCGTATACGGATATCATTAAGGCTAGCTCGTAACTGTATAGATAGGTGCATATTTAATTTTAATAACTCGGAAACTCACGGCCACTGACCTTAACTTAGACTTTTCATTGTAATGTTCTTATTTAATTAAAAGTGGTTGACAGTTCCTATGTTTGTTTTGCAATCGTTCTGTGACCCTTAGTCGTGCGCTTTATACATTTGATCCTCAACTTGACTCATTCGTGAACATATGTGAGTGTATTCACGGAACCCGGTTAAAGTCTTGTCAGCAATAATATCAGCGTCTCTTGTAGTTTTGGACTAGAAGTATATGGGGCTCAGTGCTGACCTGGTGAATAACCTCGTAGCACCACATAACATTCCACTGGAGCAGTCGTTCACGGCTGGGTGATAGACAGAAAGTATACTACATATATACGAACATTCGATTCAATACATGTAATCAAAAAAAATCTAGATATATCGTCATACTCTGCATGCAAGATATCTACCCTAGGGATTCATAAAAGTGTGCTTCTATGCGCGGCTCGCGATATTGACGATTCCATCCCAGAGATGAATTGTATAGAAACTGTTGCTTAGTGCGAGCTTTTTAACATTATCGATAGCGTAAAAGTTAACTTAAAAAAAAATGTGTATGCAGTTAGAACAGCGCCCCTAGCGGCAAACGTAGGCAAACGTTCCAACTCCATACAAATTGAGTTAACTTTTACGCTATCGAGAACGTTCAAAAGCTCACACTAAGCACACTGGTGTTTAAGTGACATGAATGCTTACAAACTATAATCGTTATTCAAGAAGCACTTTTAAGCTTCGGTGGCGTTAGTATCCTTAAACAGGAGCCCGTAACGGCAGAACCGCGGAGCTTAACACGTGCAAAATACGAATTAGATAAAGAGAAATAAGAGAAGATACCATCACTACCGATCGATGAGCAACAGTTCCTTATTGATACTTACTATTACTAGTCGGACAGAATGTTAACGTTAAGACAGTCGAATCAGTAGCTATGTATTGAGCACGTGTCAGCAAAACGTAAAGTGACTTGACAGCTTGTGGTTAACAGAAATAATTGAAAGGAAAAAATGGCGAATCAATTCTCGGCCAAAACCTAGTCAGTGCAGAACAAAATCATATCGAGGGGTGAAAAGCTATTTAATATAAGCGACATTTTGACGTGACAACGTCTTATAGTTCGATGGAGCCGGCTGCACGCACGAAAAAACGTGACTTATGCGGCGTTACCTCGCTCTGAGGCGTTCCATTTAAGGCATGAAGTGCAAGCGAGAGCGCGCAACGAGCGACAAAGAGGCACAATCGGCCTCCGCGTTCGGCAGCGTTCGACATCTGTCTCTCTCCTACTTGAGTGAGCGATGCATCCGCGTGGACAGCTGCTATACAATAATACATTTACATGTTGTCGTCAAGTATGAAGTTCAGTGAAAAGTGAATGTGGTGTCAATTGTTTATAGCAACGATAATTGCGATAATTGAAAAATGAAACCATTCCATCAGTATTTTCTTAATTTATGACGTTGTCACGTTCAACTATCGTCAGTAAACCGACTTTACAGACAACCGATTTTTTTTATTTTTTACAGGAGAACCATTTAAAGTTTAAAATTTGTAAAAAAATACCATAACAAAAAAACATCTTCAGCTATTTGATCGGATTAAGCTTGATTGAATTTCAATTAAAGACATCGAACTATTAATGCTAATCACTACATAGTATAAAACAAAGTCGCTTTCTCTGTCCCTATATCTGTCTGTCCCTATGTATGCTTAAATCTTTAAAACTACGCAACGGATTTTGATGCGGCGTTTTTTAATAGATAGAGTGATTGAAGAGGAAGGTTTATATGTATAATAACATCCATTAAATAGTGGAGAAATCAATAATAAATTACAGTTTCCGAAGCGAAGCGAAGGCGGGTCGCTAGTACCAAATAAAACGCACCTTTAATGACAAAGATAAATGTCGATATGCCCTTTCACCCTTCGATATAACTATTTCACATTTAAA